TCCATACCAAGGCTAGCCGAAACATCTCCCATCTATCTTCCCTTTCCCTTCTCTTTTTTTTCTAGAGAAACAAAATAAACTAGCTTAATGTCCCGATCCAAGCAACACATCATATTTTAACACGCATAAAATCATGCCTTGGAGTTAGGAAACAAGAAAATACCACACCCGTGCACATGCACCTCATAAAAATGTAAACTCTCAAATCCACCAAGTGTAACACATTAAACCCAAAGAAGCTTTCACATGTCCTAAAAGAGCAAAGAAGTATTTTTAGATGTCATCGGAAATATTGCAAATCAGAGGAAGGAAGATAAATACCTCTTAATGCCGCTTTAAAAATAAAATTATAAGAATGATTCAAGAAAACCACTCCGAACGAGATATCCCTCCCAAGATCTTCAGAAACGGCAACCAAAAAAATGCTCCACGCCACAAACACTCGAAAGTTCTAGCTTAAAGAGGATTTCGGCAAAGCCTCTTCTCCTTCAAGAGCTCTTTCTTTCTTCCTCAAAAATTTTAACAACTCCCAAGCCACAGAAAATGAGAAGAAAATGTAAGTTAGAAAAGATTTTGGCAGCACCTCCCCACTCTCCAAATTTCGGCCAACCCTAAAATCTTCCCCCAAATGGGATTTTATAAGCATTAGAAGAGGAGATCAGCCACCTACCAGCCACCCTAGTAAGCAAATCGTGTAAAGGGAGAGGTGAGAAAGATTTAAGGCAAGAGGAAATGCAGCCTAGGGCAGAGGAAGGGTCGGCCAGGTGGAGTTCCACCGTTGGAGGGCTGTTCGGTCGAGAGGAACTCGAGGAGAGCCGCGTGCTGAATCGGCAGCGGAATGCCGCGTGTGAGGGAAGAGGAAGATGATTTCAGCAGCCAGGGGTTCGATCGTCGAGCTCGACTGCGGCCGATCGCGGGAGAAGAGGCGCGTGCGAAAGCTAGGGCTCCGCCCGAGCGGCTCTCGGTCGAAGAAGGAAAAAGAATGCCGCGGAATTGAGTCGAATGCGGGGCCGAAATGTTTGGTTAAGGGAGCGGGTGAGAACCTAAATAAAATTTAGGTTTAATATGAATATGATTTAATATTTTGAAAAATAAAATTTTAATTTGTGTTTCACCCACGCATCAAAACGTAGCAAAATTGATATCATTTTTGCTTAATTCTGACGTTCCGGACGTGCTGGCGCGGTTTGTTTCGCCGTCGGAAGTCGTTTTGACGAATTCATCGATTTGCGTGCCAATTTTCTCGTGTCGAAAATATGGCAATATGGATGTCCTTTCCTACCAAAATTGGTATCCCGGACGCGTTGGCGCAGTCCAATTTGTCGTCGGAGGTCATCCGGAGAAGTTCACATTTTCGCCCGTCCTTTGGGCTTAATTGAAGTCCGATTTCGTGCAATGTCTTCCTAAGGCTTGAAGTCCTATTGGGAACTTTTCCTCTGAGTCTTCACAAAATAGCCCATAACCGCTCATTCATAAGACGATGGTCTTGTGCCATAAATGTTAGACATCAAAGAAAAATAAGAAGTGACTGGAATTTCTAAAAGGGTGAGTCTCAATTCTAGTTTTCTAAGATGGTCAGTAGGAATTTCTAGAGCTAGAATCTAGGCTCTAAGGAGGAGAAGACAAGACCTCACAAAAATGAGGTCAACAAGAGGCAGTGATCAAAAAAGGTGGGCATGTCATGGAGGCAACGAGACGAAGAATGAGCGTGTCGTAGATGCAATGACCTGAAAGGGTGGGCGTGTTGTGGTGGAAGTGACCCAAAGTAATTGGTATGCCTTGGAGGCGGCGACTCGAAAGGTTGAGTGTGTCGTGGAGGCAGTGACCCAGGAGAACGAGTGTACCTCAAGGGGGCATTAACTCAAGTGGCAACATTATCGGGAAGCCTGGCTCAAAAGGCGCGAGCGTGCTGTGGGCATTGTCCCTTTTGGGTGAGTGTGCCACAAGAGGCATTTACTCAATAGAATGATGATTCTCACTGGAGAGAATCATCCAAGTGGGGTGAATATATGAATGAACACAAAATACAACTCAAGCATGCGATAATTGTGCAAAATATCATGCAAGCAATACTAATGTGTATGCAAAACATACACCGTACAAGAGAAGCTATTTGTTCGACCGGTTGGGTTGACCAGGGTGGTCAAACCCGTGGCATTGTATTCGACAGGCTCAGTTGGGCTAAGGAGTAAGGTGATTTGTTGACTAAGCAGGGGCGGTCAGTGGGATCGAAGTGGTCGCTCGACCGGGCCGTGGCAGTTGTTTGGACAAAAGTGATGGGTCAGTCGTGCTAGGGCGACTGGTCAGACGAAATTGTAATGTTGACCTAGCTAGAGCAGTTAGTCGATGCCAAGTGTAATGCCAACCAGACCAGGGCGGTCGATCGAGGCAAGATGCAGTGTCGACCGGGCCGGGCCGGTCGGTCGAGGCAAAGTGTAGTGTTGACCGTGCTGGGGCGGCTTGTCAAGGCAAAGGGTAATGTGTGACATGCAACATATAAATTACGCACATGATTGTCCAATCAATAGGCATGTAGCCGGGCCAACTAGGATCGGCCGACCAATTTGCTAGTGTGGGCGACAAAACACGAGCATGCAAACATACAGACATACAGTGCAATTTGCATGATGTGATTAGTCACAATCAATAGCGAGTCAAATCGACTAACGCTCTCACATTGGCGCATAAGGTTTTAGCTCTTGGATATGCGGCATGGCGGCCTCCGACTTTTGCGAGGAATGTAGAGAACTTCATTCTCTGATTTCTCATAAAAGAAGTCCTTCACCGTTTTTAGGACAAACTAGCTACAAACCTTTTTCCGTTCTACAACCCCTCCACGTTCTTGTAGAATGAGCTAAACAGAAAGCTTTTCCCATTCTTCAAGATCGAAATATTCCAACCTCTCCAAGGAAGGTTGGAAGCGCCTAAACCCTGGGAAATTTGGTTTCTGACCGGCTAGGATTGGGGCTAAGACTTGTAACTAGAAGTCACTCGGATTCACAAAGGAATTGGCCACGAATGTGCTTCCTACCCCAGGGCTTTCTTTACGAAATAAACGTCCAATCTATAAGCGTCGTGCTTACTAGTGTCGGCAGACCAACTTGCCTAGTGTGGGCGATCGAACCCACTACGACACCACAAAATTGGCCAATCAAAGGCATGCGGTCTGGTTGACCGGTTTTGTTCGGCCAATCGATTGAGTCGGACGATTTTGGATGGCCAGTCAAACCTCCCTCGTGTGGGCGACTAAACCCACAAACACCTAGCAAAATCTATTCTTGTGGCTTGCTAATGAAGAGAATGCAAAGGGTTTTAGTGAATCTTTTCACCGCGGTGGTTGATGACGCGTTCTTTGGACTTGTCCAAACAGTCGGTATTCGAACCATGCACTGACATATCTCGCAAAAACATGTACGGAATGAGGAAGGAGCAAGGGAGGTAGTGAGGTATACAAGTATCTAAAATGAATATCACAACATATGAAAATGTGATTAACATGTACTTTTTTTGAAAGGCGTTTTTTCGTGTTGACGTTGAATTGCTTGCCAGCAGCTTAGGTCGTCGGAGGAGGCGTCGTGGTTTCAGCAGCGAAAGAAAGGAGGCTGGCGAGGGCCTTGGGCCGAGAGACATGCCAACTGCGTGAAAGGAGATCGTGGGAGCTCCAAAAGCTGGGGCATCTCCTTGTGAAAAATCCCGAGCGCTTCCATTCATCTGTCTCCGTGATTCGTATAGGAGCAGTGTCGAAGGAGAAGAAAAATGGGATTTTCAGGTCTCTGTAGGCGGTCAATCGAAAGCTTGCCAGCAGGCCTCCTTTTTCGGCAAGAGGAGGTTGGCGAGTGCTTCTCCGACGGTAGAGAAGGGAGGGAGCCCGACGAGGTGAGGTGGCGAGTGAAACCGAGAGAGGTGTCACTTTTCGCGTTAGGGAGCTGGGTCGAAGGAGTGGCAGCTAGTAGGCCTTGCCGACATGAGGAATTTCGGAGCAAACGACGAGGGCTTCAACCCCTAGGGCTTGTCTAGGGAGAAGGAGGTCGTCGAAGCATCGCCGGTGACGGGGAAGGCCGAGATCTATGTTTCGCGGACGAGATCAAAGGGAATTGGCTAGTACTTTGGGTTGAGAGGGAGCATCGGTTGTGGAGGACGGCCAATGGTGAGCTTCCTGGTGAGCAGGAAGGAGGCCTCGCCGCGAGCTTGATGGGGGGGGGGGGGGGGGGGGGTTTTTTGGGGGTGCGAGTGCGGCGCTAGGGCATCAAGAGGAAAAATTAACTTATATATTATAATATACATAACTAAGATGTTTAGCTAGGCTTTTTTATTCTTGGGTAGCTTAGTCAATATCCAAGCTCTATTTTGTTAGAAAGATCATCATTTTTTAGTGACAATTCATGTCATTGTACAATTAATAAAGCTTTGTTAAATCATTTTTTAGGGAGTGACATTAGAACTTAAAGATCATTGTTGTATTATTTCCATAACTTTTATTTTCCTGTGCTGATATATTTGACTTTTGATATCAAAAGCATGACATGGATTCCTCATCATAGTTGCATTTAAGATTATATGTTTGTTATATTCATGTATATTGTAGAGATATGTTAGATTTAAGTCTTTTACAAGGTTATTTCAGAACTTAGCAAGAAGAAAAATATATACAAATAGCTTTACAAGGGTACGCAAACTCAGAAAAAAAAGAAGCAATATTTTAATATTTTTTGCTGTATGGGCTCTATGTGAATGAGATGTCTGCTAACATCAATAAAGAAAGTGACTCTTTTATTTTGTCGTAGTCTTTGAAAGTTATTTTGAATTTCCATGGCTCAACTAATTCAGGGCAGCATTGTGCTAAAGAGTTAATTATTGGTCCTTGTGCTAGACTTCAACTTGTGAATGTTTTATTGCTAATTGATTCAAATACATCAAAGTTGTAATAAAAACTCTCACTTACATATGACCAAAGGAGCAGGTACTTAAAATAACTAAGCCACTTCCTTCTACTATAACAGGATGATGAAGTATCTGTTCAACTTGAAAATGCTGCTATTGAGCTCTCAATAGCTGTGGACTCTGCTGTACTGGGTAAATATAATCTATGGAGGCGAGAATATGATAATGAACATGATGATCCAAAAGTAAAGTTCATACGAGATCAAATGACCATGTCAAGGGTGTATATGGCCCTTGCTAAATCAAAGAATAAGCTTGACATTTATGCAGAGTTATTGAATCATCTCAAGGAAAGTCAGCGCATCTTAGGAAAGGCTAATGCTGACGCCGATCTCCCGCAAAGGTTTTCTACCACTGCTTGTTTAAATAATTTGATATCTAGTTATTATAATACAATATTACATTTTCAGTGCACTGGAGGCAATTAGAGCAACGAATGCAGTTTTGGCAAAAGCAAAAGGCCAGCTGTATGACTGCAATATATTCATTCGGAATCTGAGAGGGATGCTTCAATCTGCAGATGAGCAGGTTAGAGGCTTGAAGAAGCAAAGTACATTCCTGAGTCAGTTGGCTGCAAAAACAATTCCAAATGCTATTCATTGTTTATCAATGCGTCTGAGCATAGACTATTACCTCCTCCCTCCAGAGCAAAGACAATTTCCTAAGAGTGAAAATTTGGAAAACCCAAATCTCTACCATTATGCACTCTTCTCTGACAATGTGTTGGCTGCCTCAGTTGTTGTGAACTCAACCATAGTGAATGCTAAGGTAATTTATCTTACCTTTTGTATTCTTGGCTATTGTATATACTGCTTACACTTTAGCATTTAGTTCCAAGGATGTTGCTTGTAATACTTGGATAAATTTCAGGAGCCAGAGAAACACGTCTTTCATCTAGTTACTGATAAACTCAACTTCGGAGCCATGAACATGTGGTTTCTGTTGAATCCACCTGGGGATGCTACCATCCATGTGGAGAATGTGGATGAATTTAAGTGGTTGAATTCTTCGTATTGCCCAGTCCTTCACCAGCTTGAATCTGCAGCCATGAAAGAATACTACTTCACAGCTGCTCATCCCACAACCCTTTCAGCTGGTTCTTCCAATTTAAAGTACCGAAATCCTAAATACCTTTCAATGCTTAATCACTTGAGGTTTTATCTACCACAAGTTTATCCTAAGCTGAACAAAATATTGTTCCTCGATGATGATATTGTTGTTCAGAAGGATTTAACACCTTTATGGTTTATAGATCTAAAGGGAAATGTAAACGGTGCTGTTGAGACCTGTGGTGAGAGCTTTCATAGATTTGATAAGTATCTCAATTTCTCAAACCCTCACATTGCCATGAATTTTGATCCTAATGCGTGTGGATGGGCCTATGGTATGAATATGTTCGATCTTGTTGAATGGAAGAAGAAAGACATAACTGGGATCTATCATAAATGGCAGACATTGGTAAGGCTATTGAAATCTTATCTTCTTTCATTTTCTATTATGTTTCATATTCTTATTTTTTTTGTAATTCTATAAAATCTACACATGATTTTGGTTAATAATTAGTTGTTGATTGAGTTTGCATGTTCACTATAAAGTTTTGTTTTCCTTCTTTATAATAAACGACACAACTGGAATCAGATAAATTAGGTATTGGAGTAAAACTGATTGAGGTAGAAAGAAAAAGGGGTAAAGAGGCTAGAGTGAACACCTCAAGAGGAGGGAGGCAAGGGGTAGAGACAAAGGGGCTGTTTGGTTAACAGGTTTACGGTGTAGTGTAAAACAATTGCATGAATTTTAGGAAGATTAATGTTTGGTTTACAATAAAATAAATACGTTGTAAATTTGTGGTGTACTTTGACTTGACTATAACGGGGCTTTAGCGGTAAATTAAGTTCGCTCAAACCGAGCGAAGTACAGCTTGCTGCATTTTTCATTTCGTGGGTGAAGCTCTACTCGCTTCCGCGAGAAACCTCCTTAGTCTACCGCGAAAAATGTTCAGGCATGCAAGTTCAGAGGCTCCTCTCCAACAACGTGCAAGCTCGGAAGCCTCCAGCTCGGCCTATACTTGAATGATTTCTGCCTCTGCATCTACCTTGCCTCTGCATCTACCTTGCCTCCAAGCCAAAGGAGCTCGGCCCAGGGTTTGATTTGCCTCCAACCCGTCACAACACCATCTTGGGCATCAGCTCTATTCCGGACGAGCTTGTATCTGCCAAGGGTTTTTTTCCACTCCCTCATCCTTGCGCTGCTTGATCCGTCTTTTCTCATCCTTCTCTCCTCTTCCTTGCGCTCCTTGATTCATCTCTGCTCATCCGTCCAAGAACCGTTGGTTGTTTCAAACCTAGGCGACTCTCAGGTTCCCTTATGACTGTGGCAAGCTTGGTGTCTTCTATAGATCCCATGGGCCATGGCTTCTCTTGATCTATTAGTGAATCCCCGTGCAAACGCCGTCAAGTCCTCCAAGACTATGGCCTTCATCGATTAGGCCATTGCGCTTGTATTGGTTTGAAGTTCCCGTCATCCATTTTGTCGCCGATGAGCTCTATTTTGACACCTTTGTTGTCATCGCTAAGGTTGATCTCACATATCACATCAATTGTGGTTAATGATCTTTGGATTTTGGCTAATTTGAGATTGGTTTTAGGCTGGTATCAATGCGATTCATGAGGGCAACACAAGGGATACTCCAAATGTTGGGACTTTGTACTCAGGAAAGCTATTTGTCTAAAGCTGAAAGATTTGATTGTCTTTTTCATTTGCTTTTAGTTGAGCTAGATCGACGCTAGCGGGAAGGTATACCCCAAATGCTGTGACTCAAATGATGCAGTAAGTGTTACGTTGATGCAAATTATATAAAATATTATATATGCAATTTTTTTTAATTAACATTTTTTTTGGAAAGTAAAATTAATTTTAAGATATTATATAAATAAAAATTAATATTAAATATCAAATATTTAAGATTAGGGTTATTTTATAATATATAGCTAGTTAACATGAAAAATAAATTTTATATATTTCATTTACGTAAAACCAAAAAACTCATATGTTTTCAGAATACACCACTTTTACTTTAATCTACATGCATCTAACTAAACAGAAAAAATAAAACAACCGAACAACTTTAAAATATTTTATGTACATTGTAATCCGAGTACTTTGCAAACCTTTTAAATTGCATTTCACTTTCAACAAACCAAATAGCCCCAACACAGCAAAGGAGAAATCTAAGAAGGGGGAGAATCTCTAGAGGCAAGGCCACAAGAAATTTCAAAGCTGAATTCATCATATAATAATACCCTAATATAAGCTTAACACTCTATAAACTCAAAGCTCAAATATATGTCTCTTCTCTCATGCTCAATTACCATGGCATCCTCATTGATTGCCTTGAGCAATTGCTTAGCCCTTGCTCTCTCAACTTAGCCTCTTGGCTTCCTTGTTCCTTTTGGGATGGGCTTCTATCATTGTTGGCTCCCTCCTGCAGGCTTATTGATCTATTCATTGTCGCCTTGCTTTTCATTTGTGTTACTTTGATCGCTTGTCTACCTAGGTCTACTTGGGTCTACTTGGTGAGCATTTGCTCTACTTCTCTCTTTAGTTTGTCTCTTGATTGTTGACACTTCTTGGCGTGATGCCTTGGGCGTGCAACGTGGATGGCGTCCTTGTTGTTCTCACTTGCAAACCATTTCTCATCTCTTCAAGCATCACTTGCATTTTCTTGTTCAAAATCAACACTTCTCGTGGCATATTTTCTTTGCCTCTTGTGTTTGATCCTAAAGGAGATCAAGCCTCTTGTCTCCATTCCCAAATCAATATCCCTACTTTAGATGTCCATTACATTCATTTGCGCTCTTCCTTTCCCGCTACCTGTTCCAATGGCTTATGTCAATGTTGAAGCCCCTCCTATTTTTAGAGCATCAATTCCAGTTTGTGTTGCGCCCACTTGTCAATCCCTTACAAAAGTCATTTGTGGTTTGAAGGCTTCAAATATTCAGTTGTCATTAGCAACCATTTTCTTTTATATTTTCAGCAAGAATCAATTCCATCTCAATGTGGGCAACTCTCGACTTTTTAATGTGAAATTGAACTTTTTTTGATAAGATGAGATTTTGAGCTTGCTAGATAACTCTTATATTTTTTTGTGGGTAAAACTTTCTAGGTTGCCTCAATCGGGAGATCATTCATAAATATATATCAGTCTTACATTTGATTAGCCATTTAACTTCTAACCTATTGATCCACATCGCATCATTATAGGATTAACTTTGGAAAAATCGGTCTAGACTGTTTCACGACTTATTTTAGTCATCTGATGTGAATGATAAAGGGTCTCTTCACTTTGACTTTTCTATGGAACCTTCTATGATCCTAGTCTGAGTTGTATCACTTCATCATTGCTTACTTTATTTCAACTAATTTACTTTGAACTTCCTGGAATCTGATTTTGGTAAAACCTTTGCAAGTGAATGTTGTTACTGATCGTCTCTTTAGACCAATATGGTTATAATTTTAGTTGAATTGGATGTTCTTTTTGTTCAAAAATGGAGTTGTGAATTAGGGTCTATTTTGGGCAGCTGCAGCTTACCAAATTATCAGCTGCAGCTTAGCTGCCCCATGAAACTGCTGCGGAGAAGCTGACTGGCTATTTGTTTCAGTTGTTTGATAACAGTTGTGTGACAGTTGTTTCTGGTCAAATGATCATTTTGCCCCTGTTCGGAGCTTTTATTCATATCAACAAACAACATTGAGATAATCAATTTATGTTCTGTGTCTGTTATTATTTTCTATTTCTGGATAAAGAATTCTTCATAAGAGAACCAATATATGTTCATATCCAGAGCATAACATATAGAATTTTGCCTTCCTTTGACCATGATGGGAAAAGAAAATCGACACCATTCCAAACAAGATCCCTAACAATTAAGCATAAAAAATAGCAGATTTGTAACAGAAACGCTTCTCAGCGGCGCCACTCCCGCAGCCGAAACCCTTCTTCCTTCATCTCCTCTGGCTCAGGAAAAATAGGCCCATCAGATGCAAAGATCCCCCCATTCTCCTCAGCTCCATAGACAACCGTGTTGGATTCAGACGCCGTGAATGGCGAAGAAACCGAATTATACTGTATTTGCGAATCAGATCTGAAGTTGTAGTGCTTCGGAGAGATTGTATGATCGATGAGGATCTCCTCCGCATTTTCAAAACTCCCATAGGGAAGGTAGTCGCTAATCCCAGTGGTTTCATTCGATTGCTCGCCGCTGGCCAAGTTGGAGTAGGACCTGGAGCCCATGTAGCTTTCATCGTTGAAGGAGCAGCTCGAAACCCTAGTCACCTCATCTCCTTCGTTGCTGAAGGTCTTGATGCGGGCGAGAAAAATGGCACCAACGTAAAATGCCGAAGGAGAAAGTGGGGCCATAGGGTCGAACCCGCGGCCTGCTTTTTACCTAAAACACTCTGTGCCACGTATCACCCGCAACCCCAAATAGTGATTAATAGTGGCGCCCCACCACGCCGCTGACCTACCGCCGCCCCAAACAGGGCCTTAGTTTCTCTTTTTGTGGCTTTTGGTAGAAGATAGGTTTGAAGGCGTTCCTTTATATTGTTTTTCTTGCATTATTTTCACGTACAACTTTTCTGAATGTATTGAGGCTCACCCACAATTATGGAATCAAACATTCAAACACAATGGTAGCACACTAATGATTAAATTCTAGCTTTTAACATCATATTTGCGATCTTCCTTACTCTATACAACGAATGCACTCAAAATTTGGAACCGATTGTAGACTTTTCCAAGGACTCAAAACCTTCTGCACTGTAGCTATAATTGGTGGCTGCTTGTTTCCTCGTAGAACTTCTATCTGCGGGCTCTTTCCTTATGTATGTCTTATTCCGGTGTAGCTGGGGAATGAAGGTTGCTGTTTTTGTGCCAGATGAATTCTGGACATTCTAATTTGTAGTTTTAGACTGAGGGGCTGTTTGGGATCATTTTTTTATGTAATTTTATTTATATTTTAATTTGATACAAAATATATTTAGATATTTGGTTAAAGTATGATTATTTTTAAAAATACTTAAAACTCGTAAATATTATTTTGAGCATTTTAAAAAATATGTTAATTTATTTTTAGAAATAAAATATAAAAGAATAAAAACATGTAAAAAACATACTAAACAAGCATGTTTTTAAAAACGAAAGGAAAAAAAATAGCAAAATAATATATAAAATTAATCCAAAACATGCCCTAAGATTTTATGAAACTTCCTATTATGGTCAAGTTGTGCAAAATGTGTTCCTTCTCTTTGGCAACTGTCATGTTTCTCTCCATTCCTTGGTTTGCTCTGTTGCTAGGATTGGCTGTACTACACTGTAGTAGGAAATCGGTACTCCGTTTACTTTCGTGGCTCTATACTGTGTAGTTGTAATTGGTGGTGGTTGCTTTTTTCCCCTTCTATGCTTTTGCTGCTGCACGTAGACAATGGACATTCTGCTGTTTGTTAGGACGTTTGTGAGATTTAGCACCTATTATGGAAGCAGTGAATTGCTATTTGTTTCTTACATTTTTTAGGCTGTTTCATGTAGCAAAATATGTAGCAAAATTTTGAAGAATTGTTTGGGACATGATTAAATTTAAAGGACAATTTCATTAGCATTTCTTAATATAATATAATGAAAATATACTTGAATGGCTAGGAAATGTGCACTGAATTATAGAAAATGCGCCTTTGACTGGTGGATAATATAAATTTTAGAATTAGAGAGAAAAATGGATAAACTTAACCTAAAAAAATGGTTGTAAGTTGTGCAAAAATATTTTTATGGAATAGGTTAAACTCCCCATGCACGTCTCAATAGGATTCTATGGATACTGTTGCAAATGATTTGGGCCGAGCCAAGTAGGAGGTTGTTTGAACTTGAGCTCATCCAAATGCTTGTTCCAGATTGATTCCAGCTTGTGTGATAGTACTCAAGTTTGTACTCGTTATCAGAAGCTTATTTGAGCTTGGATTTAATTTGGCCTGAGCTTCACTCAAGCTTATTTATAAGCACTATTGAAGAAAAAACCGAGCCTTAATAAGTTGAGCTTGTTGAATTTCGCAAAAGGAGACTTTAATTAATCAAACTTAATAAAAAAACCTTATCTTATTGAGCCAAGCTTGGTCGCATGTCAGTTCTTAATCGAGCTTCTTACTAATTTGTTCATAAGTTTTAAATGATACTGTTCATAATCATAAACAAATCAAGCATTAAGCTTTTTTATTTAACAACTGAGTATTCATAAAAGTGTTCAATTTGACTTCCATATTATCAACTAGTTCCCACGCATATTTCATATTGCTACTTCACATGTTATATTCTCTCTTTTTTCAATTTTTTAACTAAACGGTTAACCAAAATGATTAGAACTTATCTAACTTTATGCCAACCAAATTTGACTGCAAGCAAGTACTTCAGTTGATTACATACAATATGATTGATTATTCGGCTGTTATGCTCCATTAACTTCTTTTTCATCTTTTAACAGAATGAGGACCGAACCCTTTGGAAACTTGGAACTCTGCCTCCTGGTTTACTGACATTCTATAACTTGACGCATCCACTGAACAAGTCATGGCATGTTCTTGGCTTGGGCTACAATCCAAGCATTGATCGTTCCAGGATAGAAAATGCCGCTGTTGTACATTATAATGGTAACATGAAACCTTGGTTGGAGCTAGCAATGACGAAGTACAGGCATTACTGGACCGCATATATCAACTACGACCATCCATACATTAAAAATTGCAAATTGAGGACATAACTGACTCAAATTCTTGTTAAATTGCATGAGAAGGGTGGTTTTGATCTCTATTGACTCTCTTTGGTTTACTGTGTTCAATTCTTTTTTATTTTTTTTAAACTTTCTTCTGTAACTAAAGTTGAATGCAAGCTTTTTTCAGGTTGATTTCTCATTCTTATGAACCTTTATATTTTTTTTGTAAATATGTAATCATTCTAATCAGGCAACATGAGTTTCTTTTGTAGTACATTATCCAATTTTTTATTAAGCGGAAGTGTATGCAGAAGAGTTTGGTACAGATTTCCTGGTATCTGTTAGGTAATTCATTGTAGCTTGTTTATAAAGTAATGCATGCTTATGATTTACAACTTCACATTGTCGTGGAGATGGTTAACAAAATTAGTATTTTATTTTGTGGAAGATTTACATACATTCCACTCAATTTTTATGTTATATATGTAATACAAACTTTATTTTTTACATATATTTCTATGCATGAAATGGTGTATTTCATTTTTTAAAAGTTAAAATATTGATATTTGTGTGATATTAAAGATTTGAGTGCTATGTGTGAGATTTAATTTGAAAGATTTGGATGCCATAAATGTAAAGAAGCTTGTTAGATATGTGAATTGAAGTGCCACTTCCTCCAATTTCAGGCAACCAAATACAGCAGAGCAAGAGAATCCATTCCCTTCCCTATATAAAACAAACATCAAATATAAATTGGCTGTGTGCTATATATATTTATATGTTGAAAATGTCATGAAGAGTATGATTTGCCAAAGTTCAAACCGGAATTAGATTCTTTAATAGTTTTACATTGTAATAATTCATGAATTTGCAACTGTACCAAGCCACACTTTTTCGCATGTAGAGGCCTAATGCTGCCAGGGAGCCTTTCCTAACCGTAAGGCGATTCATAGGTATGATTCTTAACTTTCATTTTCATCAAATAGCAAATCAAGTCGAGTCTTTGCCGGTTCGAGTTTGAGCTCAATTATCAATATCTTTTTTAAATTCTGCTTGAGCTTGATTCGAACTTTCTAAGCTGTTTTTGATTTCCTGCTAGTTTATCAAAACAATGTTAGTGCTCAATTCATATAAGGATTATCAAGCTTATTAATGAGTGGTTAGTTTAACAAAATAAATAAGTTATAACTGAGTTTTAATCGAGTAGTTTATTTGGAAAAAATAATGAGCTACATAAAATAATGTCAAGAGTTTACAAACATAAACATTTAAATGATACCATTCATGTACGAGACCTAATCAAACCTTAATTGAGCTTCTTAATGAGATTATTCGAGAGCTTTAAAGAATATTATTCATGAACATAAATCGATCGAACAATAAATTATTCAAGCTTATTCATTGAGCAATCTGAGTTTTTACAAAAAATTTCAATCTCGTTTGATCACTTAATCAAACAATCATAAATGAGGTCTAATAAAGCTAAGCTACAAGTAGCTTGTCGAATATTCACTTCATTGGCAGCCTAAGCAATAGTTGGTTATTTTTTTGATCTATTGTTGCACCAATGCTTTCTATGAAAGAAAAGTCTTGTGCATGTACCTCTATATTATTCAAGCACACACACATAAGAAAATGATAATTGCACATATTTTTTAAGATTTGCAACTAACCCTTTTATCTAATAAGAATTTGTGTAAAAGGAGGCTTCTTTTTGTCATGTGTAAATCCTGAGATCCACCCCATTAATGGTAGTTCATGGAAAGGCGCCAAAGTTATCAGTAGTAGATGATTAGAGATAGGTTTACATGCATTCCATTTTGGATCAGATTTCATTTATGGTTGGGCTTAGCTCACGATAAAACTTTCTCTAATTGATCTGCCCTATCATCGAGTATTATACCTGAAACATGAGACTCAGATATCTGCAATAATGGTAGTGAGCTCTACCCACTTTCTCCTTTGCGATATTGTTATGATCCTTAAATGACCATAAGTTATTAGTATAGGTTAATCCATCATCTATTTGCATGACTGACTCATGGATGTGGAAGTTTCGAGCAAATCTCGATGGATGTACCCAAGGAGTTTATGATCTAGTTAATGATATATATTGAGTTTCTATTTGATCTAGTTAGCTCATGGATGTGGAAGTTTGAGGCTGTTGTTCGATTTAAAATTTAATGCTGGCTCTAGTAATATTTCATTGGCGAAACTCATTAATTGAAGTGTTGCTTCATGGGAGAGATTGTTTGCCAAAATTTCTCATTGCTCATCTTGAATTTGAATTAAAGGAGGTTGAATAGTTTAGAGGTGAGAAAAAGGCTAAAATTTCTTAAGTGAAGGTGGACTGGTTGGCCAAGTATAAAATTTATCCATAAGTGTCATCAAACTTTGGTGACACATGATAAATATAATGAAACCATTCTTTGGTTGCAATCCATGCTTTTGCAAGGCAATTAAATTTTCTTTTTGCTGGATACACCTCATGGAAGCATACAAAAAATTATTTATTTATTCATGAATATGGTGCCTTGAAACTTGTATAAATGTCTCATATCATTTTTATTTAAGCTTAATCAAATTAAGCTTACTTACCATCACTTTTCAATTTGTAATTACCATGTTCCTTTTTAGCAAAAAATATTTTTGTACTCTCCTTTATATGTAGATTGATGATATATGTACCTTATTTCATGTTAAATAGAATTATTATATCATCTTGTTTTACAAAATGGCTATATTATTTAATGAGTTTTTACTTTTAAGCACAACTAAAAAAATATAAAAATCAAAATTTAAGTCTTGAGATAAGTAAATGGATAAGAATTGGGCGCTATATATGTAAATTCCCCAAAAATATAACGAGTTTAACTCTTAAAATGGGAAAATATTTGTGTGCATAAGACGTACCCAGCGCTGCATACGTCTAGGGGTTATTCCAGGGGTACAGAAGGGTTATATCGGAGTTATACCCCTCTGTAACCCCCCTATAACCTCTTTGTAGTAACTTCTTTACCCCCCTATAACCTCTTTGTAAACTACATGTAACCTACAAATGAGTTCCGCTCTTCTGTAATTTCATCGGTACAAATAAGTTACACTGAAGTTACAAGGGAGTTACACGGATGTTACAGAGGGTATAACCTGGATATAACCCCCCTGTAACCCCTGAATAACCAATAAAGCACGCACAGAATAAAGCACACACCGTTACGTAGGTCTTATGTACGCAAGTATTTTCCCTTAAAATGATGTGCAAAATTTTCATGTAATTATAAATCCAACACCTAGCTCTCTATTTTTATTTATAGGAAAATTTACATTCATACCACAAAAATGTTCTATATTTATATATATTCAATACTCAAAATTTGACACATATTTATAATAATTTGGTCTCATAAATTTATAGATGAAAATATATATTTTGTTTTTAAAATTAGTAATAATAATATTTTAGATGTAGTAATAAAAAAATGTAATTCTTATGCGTTGTAAATAAAAATGTTCGTTAGTTAGAATGTGAACGAGTAAGAGTTCCTCCATGTGGAGAACCTTTGCCTACAGGTTCGTCTTCTCTTCCTCCGTCATGCGATGGCTTCCAACCCCAGGCCTTCTCTCGTCGCGGAAATCGGACCCGATGGCATTGTCAGAGAGTCTCCCGTCATTGCTTACACGGAGAAGGTATACTGTTTCTCACTCTCTTCCTCAATTTTTCTCTGCATTGGTGTCTCACCCGTTCTTTATCTCGCTAGGTAATCGCGGAGGAGCAGCTACAGTTGAAGAGGTGTGCTAGATGTGCATGTATTTTGTTCTTTCCTCCCTCCGCTTTTCGAGATCTCGTTTCTTGATTTTACACCATTGTTTAGAAAATTTATTGAATCGGCGCAGAAGTCGATTACGGTGATCGCTTTTAACTTAGCTCAAAAGTGCGAAATCGATTTGGTGAATAGAGATTAAGGCGACGACTCAATTTTGTTTTTGTTTTTATTAGGACTAAAAATGTGAACTCTAGGTCTTTTTTTTGGTCAGTGTGGTACTGAAATCATGAGTCTAGGCTTCGGTATCGCATTCTCCTTTTTTATCTTTTTTTTTAAAAATTTTATAATTAGGATCCAGACGCGCGCGCACGTACACACACACACACACACACACACTGGATGGCGCACCGAACGCGTGGTCTCGTCTCACGGATTTTTCATAATCTTGTTCCAAGATTTTGAGAACATCTTAAATCTGTTTAGAATTTCTTTTGCTCAAACTTTAACAAAATTTATTCTAGTGATGAGCATATAGTACGATGATGCAATCACTTTTGCAGTAAACCCATTTTCTTTCTCTATTGTGTTTGCTCGATAAGCTCGCTAAATAAATAACAAAAGAACACCTAAAAAGGATGGTAGTTGTAAGCTTCATTCATCGTATGCAGAACGGTAAGTTAAACAAACCTATTAGTAATTACTTTTTTTTTTGTTATATTGTATTTAATCTGAATATTTTTCTCTTGAGAGCAAAATATTAAATCTCCTTTTTCTTTATTGTCTTCAATGATTTATTTTAAGCATAGTTATGAAGTCTTATGTTGTGTCCTGCTGTTTCTTTCCCCTTTTTAGCTCTATCCAGCCCATTCCATTTTCCTTCTTCCTTTGCATCCTAACAAAATAATATTATTACTATAGATACATCCAAGAGAATTATTCAAAAATAAGAGATGTTGAAAGAGAGCTTGAGAATCTTACACTGGAGGTGAAACTTACAGCTGGACCCAAGAAAGCTGGTAGTCCCATTTCTATTCAAACAATTTCTGCTGTGTGAAAAAATGCAAGAAATGTTCTGATTTTGATCTTTTGGCTCTTTCTTAATTTTATAAGCTCTTGAACATATGCGAAAAAAAATAGAATTAGCAAATGAAAGGTTACGAGCTGCCAAGTTGAAGGAGGAAAATGCAAAAAGGGTATGGTTTCTTTTCACTGATTTCATAGCGCTTGTTTAAATATTTCCCTTGAGCAAAAATCAGTTTTTGCACTTGGTTTCTATTTATCATCTTTGTTCATGTACATATTGAAACTGTTTATTTCACTGAAATGCAACTAATTCCTGATTGAACAGACACGTTGAGGCAACTAAAAATTGTTCACTATGAGATTAATTTGTATTTGGGATAAACATTGTTATTTTGCTTAATGGAACATTTGTTTTGGCAATCATGGGCAACTTGATGACATTTCAATAAGATATTTTTTTACAATTGTTGAAATTCATTTCGTTGACTTGGACTAGGTCTTGCAAATGGTATGATGGTGTTTTCACTTCGGGGCATTTAGATACATACCACACAATTCTTACATGTTTACATATCTAACACAAACATTCATATTTTCATGCATACCACTCAAATCCTTAACATCACATAAAAAATATCACCATCATTATCTTCTTAGAAGTGAAATACACCTTTTAATGCATAGGTTTATGACACTAAGATGTTATAAGTGCAAATATCAAACTTTTGGTGATAGAATTGTGTGGTATGTATGTAAATTTCCCTTTTACTTTTTCTATAAATTGTAAGAGTGACTTGGTTTGAATTGAACTAGAGAACCTACCCGAACTGAACCATATTTAGTGGTTTGGGTTATCTTACTTGGATTAAAGTTTGAATTTGAGCCATCCCAAATCAGTTCTTCTATGCAATTTAAAGTAACTAAACCAAATTAGGTTAATTTCTCTTCATTAGCATTAAGTCTCATTGGAGAAGTGTAAGTGTTGTAATGGCCCTAATTGTGAAGTCTTTAATATTATTCCGTTACATTTGGAACCGTAAATTCTTTCACTCGCCTGAATGGCTATTTATACTAAAGTAATTTATGGAGCTCGCAATTGTTTTGATGGGATATCAAATTCAGGAAATCATTCACCAGAGGCCTTCAAAGTAATGTAGATTATTTGTCGAGAATAAATGTAATATATATGCCATTTTATATGAGATAGTGCTTTTAGTTGTGATTATCTGATTTTAATTTTCTTGATCATATGTATTATTTTTCATCCTAGTTTCGGTTTATGGGGTCGGCTACATAAATCTTTTTTCCCCATTGTGTTCTATTGAGTGCCGTATTTTCATTTAATTCTGATAAATTAAGATCATTTTTTAAACAACAATTCATGTCACGATTTTTTCAACAAAAATTTTATGTTGGTTGTCAACTACCTAATAACCCTTCACTTTTCACATTCGGGGTTTGGGAACCCTGCAATGATAGTGTTAGGAGCTTAATCTTTTAATCTAATAGTTATTCTAGTTTAACATGTCAACTCATCAAGCAACTGTCTTTAACACCTCTTGTTAGAGATAATAGGCCTCACTACTTAGGATAAGATAAGAAGTAAGGTTATTGGTTAAAGAAAAAAGAAAAACAGGGCGATAAAACATGCATTCCCTGTTTATAGCAATTAGGAACATTCACCCGTAAACTGTGTACCACTATATCATCAGATTTATTTTGTTAATAGTTTAAATTTATGAATTTTAAGGAGGCTTTATTATATATTGTTCTTCATTATGATGTAGGTAGTTGAGTAAAACTTTTTCTATGAACAATGCACTAATTACTGATCAAGTTGGTTTTGAAATACTTTAAATTCTCAATTACGTAGGACTTTTACATAGTTGGACTTAGTAGGCTCATAATTGATGTGCAATTACTTTCTTTTATGTAGACATTTTTTATGTTATGCTTCCAACATCGTAATTTCTCTCATCCATAAGCTATTTATTCTTTGTAGCCCTGAACATATCTTTCTGTAGGAGAGACAAAAATGATAAGGGAGGGTATGCGTTTGGTAAGTGCACACATTTATGCATGCCATCTAGAACCCGGATATTGAGTTACACACACACACACACGCGCGCACACAGAGATATATATATATATATATATATATAATGCCTCGAGAGTTTAGGATTGAGTGATAGATTCTTATGCTTAATATGAAAATGAAAAGGAGAGTGCCATTGATTGCTCTCCTCCCTTGACCCGAAATAGTAAGTATTGGACAACAGTTTTAATCTTTAAATTTTTTAATTAATACGTTGCAATTTTTTTCTATATAATTTTATGTTGAAATTTCGTCAAGGAAATGAACACAGCATTCTCTCTAGCTATTCTCTCTCTCTCTCTCTCTATATATATATATATATATATATTATTGTCTTTTAATTTTCTAGTAATTTTATATTCTCTTATGCTGGTAATATTTCTTCATGCGGACAGAGTGATAAGATGCCCTGGACATTTTTTTGCTTAGAAGTACACAGCACACTAGTTGTCTAAAAGTCGGTCAATACCTCCAATGAGTGTTTGGCCCCTCTAGATAAGTCTCTGACTCCCACGCTAGGGATTGAACTAGTGAATCAGGTCCGATCAATTGTAGATGGAATTGTGAATCAATCGTTTAAATTCTCTCTATATCTCTACGGATAACCAAACCTTGGTTAGATGTGTCACCAATCTAGAACAACTGAGACTATTGCGTAGAATTGAACGTGAACCTTCAAACTTACATTGGTCTTTATTTATAGTAATTGCTGAATTTAGTACCGTAGAAATTTCATTGCTGGAGATTTTGGTCGAATGTTTTGATCATTTCACATTGGACGTCGATCGGAGCGACCAGGGATTTTCAAAATACTAGGTCGACCTTCTTAATATGACAATTGCGGGGAATGCTAAGCCATCTCTGATAAGTGTGCTGGGACTGTTCCAGATCAACATACCCCTCTTAACTTGGAGTGTTGACATGCTGATATGGTATGACTTCAGTTTTTTAATTTTTATAAACCAAACCTTGGTTAGAGTGTTGAATGCTGATATAGTACTTAGTGTGTTGTTCCAGATTTCATTCGCACTAATAAGATGCACGGTTTGTTTTTATGCAAAAGTAAATTGAGGATCTATATATCACCAACAACACCCTTGCTACTTTTAGAACTTGTGAAAGCTACAAGAATCACCCATCTTTATAGTGCCAACGTGCTGTAGAATTTGAAGAAATTGAATGAAGCTACATCATGTTCTGGCAATTAGGGATGTCAAGTTGGGTTCGTGGGTCAAGTTTAAGTCCGACTTGAAATTGACTTGACTTGAAACTGTTTTACTAGAACCCAACTTAAATACTAAACAGATCAAAAAGTTCAAGAGAAACTAGACCCACCTTCAACCAGATTAACCCAAACCTGGCCCACATTAATTGTTTAATACATACATAAAAGCTATTCGGGTTTAAGTTTGAGTCAACTTGGGGTAACTTTTGAGTTAATTTCGGGTTAGCGGATCAACCAAACTCGATTTGAAAAATTAAATGTGTCGGAGATTTTTAACTTGATGACGGTTGAAAAATTAGTTGAGTTAACCCGGATTATTCACTTCAGGTTTGAATCAAGTTGTTGTGTTGGGTCATTTTTTGACACCCCTATTGGCAATCAGTTGACATGTAAATCTATACCAACGAAGAATTATTCATCTGCCGCAACTGGTCCACATATAAGTCTAGGGCAATAAAAGTTTATCCATTGCTGCTTGAGCTCATGTGTGTTTGATCGCTCCAAAATTTCATCAGCATTGAATTTGTAACTTGCTTAAAGGTATAACACATGAAGATTCAGTACCAATGCGGGTTATTCTGACGCGGCAGGAAAAAAATAAAATTAAGTACACATACATGTTATTCCAATGTGGCGAAGAAGTATATAAATTAAGTACTCTCGCTTGTTTAAATATGATGGGAAAATTCTTTGTTTTATGGGGATTGAAGACTTATTTTCTTATGTACAACGCGTGAAAAGATCCCTTGGTCAGATGTTTCATGACATTGACCATGCACATCTTATTAGGCGTTGTGGGAAGGTCTTGCACTCCAAAATATGCCCTGTGAAGGATTGATGTTGAGAGGTTACTGAAATTTTATTTGAACACTATTTAAAATGAGCAATTGAGTTGAACATATTGGGCTAAAATCTAAACAAAATGAACGTATAAATTGCAAGTTGAGGATAAAACGGGTGTTCAATATATCATAAAAATCATTTCCAATGGACATAAATGAATATAGATTGAACCTACACATGACAACAGTGGACTCGACATCTCATCGATAACTGTAAATGAAATCTATTAGAGACTCAATAGTTCACCAACGAGGATAAATAGAACCTGCACAAGATGTATAGGGAACTCACTAGCTCGCCAAAGAGTATAAATAGAATCCTCTTGCTGCAATCGAAACTTACAAAATTTGACAAAGATGAACACAACAACCAATATGTGTAATAAGAATTGAACTCCTGGATACTTGAAAGCTCTTTAGGAAGCACGCCTTAAATAACATGTGATTTCCAACTTTAATGTACACATGAACATAAGACACTACTTGAGAGGGGTCAAAGTGAAGCTTTGCACGCATTGGAGTGTTTGTAAAAATTAGTCAAATTTTTATAATTTTTAAATCCAACATGCGCGTGATGGGGTCAAAGTGAAGCTTTGCACGCACTTGAGTGTTTGTAAAAGTTAATCAAATGTGTATAATTTTTAAATCTTTCATGTATGTGATGTGGTGATCTTACAGTCAGATGTTATGCCTTAAAAGTCATGTTAGTTGTCTCAGAAGATGTGGAAAGTCCTCTAAAATCTTTCCAATTTAGAAAGCCCCAAATATCCATATGCTTGACCAATAACTTGAATATTCAAACACTAGGTTCAAGGGTTCAAGAATATTGCCCGAGTTAAAAATAAAAGCCTAGAATTATCTTTGTTATATAAGTGTGATAGCATTTAAATTTTATAGAATTTTTTTTCTCAAAATAGCCAAAATTATATATATATCGCGCATTCTCGAGTATCCTGTCTTGCTCGTAGGAAAAAATCGTTAGTCCCACCTTAACCAGTACAATCTTCCACGTAATAAGAACTAGAGCAGACAAATTTGGGCTTCTATTTGACTTAGCCCAATTTCTTTTTTGACAAACTAGAGTAGACAGGACTTGTGCCTTACGAAAATTTGACCCTAAACACATGTCAAACTCTCTCTCATCTTCATTGTGGGAGGTTGGCGTGCAAATTTTTGGAGCTCACATATATGTGCAAATTTTTCTTCATTAATGAAGTGGGTGAATTTTTAATTTGTAGTGAGATCGCCATTATCTGGATTAAAAATAATAAGGTGGCCATCCTGCTGAGAGTATTCTGATGGAAATTTGGCTGCATAATTGTATATGTTTCAGCTTGGCGCCTGTTTCCTCTTTTGATGGTGTGCCAGTTTTTGTGAAATTTTCACAGGCATGGGAAGCAGCAGTTCAGGTTGTGAAGGATGAAGAAGCTGCAAAGCAGATACTTTGTGATGACCTAAATAAACTGGTATGCATTTAAGTTTTTACTCTTGGTTGTAAAGTATACAGTGCCGTACAATATACTCGTTATACTTCTCTTTTGGCCATTCATATGACAGGTACAGGAAAGTGCCAACACTCAATATTCACGTTTGGAGGAGCTGAAAAGGAGACTAGAAGCTCTTAATCCTAGCAGGGTTTCTAGTAATTTTTCGGTGAGTCAAAAAGAAATTATATTTTTGATTTGTTATATTTTTTTATTATTCTTTCCTTTTTGCTTTATAATAAGAACTGGTAGCAATTATATTCTTATAAATTGTCTGTTGGTTTTCTCTCAGTGATTATCTGGTTTTGTTTGCTGTACCTCAATGTGAAATTTCCTCACGGTCTTATTCAGTCAACTGGCTGCTTAGATTGTTTTGAATTAAATTTGCTAAAGCGTTATATCTTTGCATTTATGCATCTACATGCAGCTGCTGCTTTTGTTTGTTTTTATTCTAAACTCACACACACAACCGTACGTGTCGGGCATTGAATTCATCATTATATGGGACAAAACTCTTAAACACTAGGCCAAATAGCTACACAGAAGCTGCCACTCTCTTATTATTCTTGAACTGGAATAAAGAACTGCTAAAATCTTTGTGAATGAATTAAGCTTTTATGTTTCTCCTGTCCTATTTTTTTCTCTGTCCTTTTCTTGTGCATACACATCTAGACAATGACCAGACTGGGCAGTCCAAATATCCACTATTTTCTACACACTAAAAATGTTCTATTCATTGTTCATTTCTTCACTAAATATTGTAGTTTAAATCAGATCTAGTGAATTTATGCAATTTGGTCGATAAACTTATGAATTGTATTCATCAAGCTTCTTCAATTCCCCTAAAACCACATCAAAATTTTTGGGGTTTGGGATTCGATTTCGCAGAACATTCCAAGAAATGAAACTTCGGAAAGGTATCACAGTGAATGAATATGCATCAAATTGATTTCCATTCCATCCGCTAATGTTGAGGATTTCAGCAATTATTTATATTTTCCTGTTTCAGGATGGCAAACAAGTGCAGCCATCTCACAGCAATGCAACAGCTCCACAAAAGGAGGCACAGCTAGCTGCAGATTCAGCCGGTAGTAAAAGCACTGAATTGGCATCAGATGGTAAGAACCAGCAACATGAAGTTGAAGTGAGGGAAAAGAAGCCAACAGCAAATCCTGCAAGAGGGAAGAAAAACATCATTCTGAAGAGCAGAGCAGCTTCAGATTCTGGTTGGACCGGAGCTGGTTTTGATGCTTGACCTCCCCTGCCACGAGCGGTATTCTGCTGCCTTCTTTAATTTAGTTTATTTTAATTTTTTGACTTCATTTAATTCATCATAACATTGTGAAGGTGATGTATTTGATTTTTCTAGCTACACTAGTTACAGCTTTACAGGCTTAGGATGAAATCTTCTTGGGGCACCTACATGCATACCACTCAATACCTATGTATTCACATTTCTAACACCTAAATTTTACTTATTACATTTCTACCACACATTCTTTCATATCACAAAAAATACTTTTTATTTTAACATTTAAAAAGTAAAATGTACCTTTTTCATGCATAGGTTTACAGTGGTATATATGTAAAAACTGAAGTTTGGGTGTTAGGTATGTAAATACATTAGCATTTTGTGGTATGTATGTAAATCTTCCAATCTTTTTAGTTCTCCTTATTTCTGTGAGCACAAGATTGAGTTTTCTGTAATCCCATTAAACCTGTACATAACAGGGGAGTGGTACTGCACCGAAAACTAGTGTGGATCTTACTATTATGATTGAAAAGCTTGCATTCAAATTACGAACAAATTGGCTTAGAATATTTGATTAAATTTTTTGTCAGGATATGCCGCAAGATTATTAGTTTTGCTTTTAGATCCATGTAATATAAAATCTAAGGTAATTTTACGTACATGCCACTACTTTTATTTATTTGTTTATCTGACACCTAGCTTGATTTTTATATTTTTGGGGCAATTACATACAAATCACCTGAAACTTGCTATTTACAAATCTAACATCCACTTTCATTCACACGCACACGCACACGCATATATATATATATATATATATATATATATATATATACAAAACAAAAATTGATATTTACAAATTAACCACCCATGTGAGAATTACTTGGGGGTTAATTTGTAAAGATCAATGTTTTGCGTTGTGTGCATGTAATTATCTCCAATGTTTATAACATTTTGGTATTATAAGCCTATGGCGACATTTTTAAAATATTAGTACGAATGGTATGTTTCGTTGTGATGCTAAGATTTGAGTGGTATGCATGTAAATATCAAAGTTCACGTGTTAAATATGTAAATAAATGAAAATTGTGCTTTAAATGAGCATAAAACTAGCCTTAAACCAAAATTTGATCAGGTCTTTCTAATCCAAAATCGTGGAAAACAAAATCTATTCTTCACAAAATCATATATTCAAAGTAGAGAGAATGATAAATAAGACTACTCAGAATTCATGAGAAGGACATGATAAAATATGAATTTCATATATAAAAACATGTTTACAAAACAAACGGAATAAAAATACAATTTATCTCACGATCCTTCTCAAACAAATCTCTAGAAGTTCTCTCAAAGACTCTCTCTCTTTGCAATCACTCTCAATTCTCCCTTAGAAATGTAATGAAAAAGAAATCTCTCACCTTTCATTTTCTCCTACAACCCTAAAAGAAAACTCACGCCATTTTCTCTCTCTCCCTCACGTCACACACTCAAGCCTCCTCAAGTCTTCTTCTTTTATTTTAGACTGCTTCTTTTGGAAAAGAATCCAAAATTTCCTCCAACATTTCTTCTAAAAGTCAACTTTTTAAAATTCAAAATATGTGTCATTTGATCCAAAAGTCATATCCCTTCAAAGTAGGGTGAATGATTAGCATTTACATTTAACATGTTTTTCATGCTCGCTAATTTAATAATCCAAAATAAGCCAGCTGGATTGTGTTTTAGTTCAATAAAATATGAATATTTGTTCATCTCTGGTTTGTTTAAAAGCTGAAAGGCATGTAAAAATCTAACTAATGATCAATGATTAATAAGACTAGTTTCCCCTTTTTTATGGGAAGAAATGAATATCTCAAAATAGTGGTTGCAGAGTCTACCTCAAGGCCTTACAAAGTTATATCTTCACTTCATTTACTCATTCAAAGTTTTGTCTTGGTATTATCATGTTGATGTGATATAGAACTTATTAATGTTTGCATCATTTCACGTGATTAAATTGACGAAAAAATAGTTGATTGATTTGAAGAATGATAAAATTTAATCTTTTTTTAATCAAAACATATAAAATCAATATAAAATGGTTATAGTAAATATTAATTATTTAATTAATACGAGTTAAATTGAGTCAAAAAAGATTGAGCGAAAAGGCATTTCTTGTTCAACTCATTTATAAGTAAAGCTCAGTAGATTTTTTTGTGGTTGATTTTTTTTATTAACAAATGACTTGAAACATAACTGTTTGTGGATGTCGACTTCTTTTAGTATCCTTAAGGACAACGTGATTCTTGCACTTTTTAGTACTTACATATGTAGTGCAATGCTGTAGTTTTTCTTATAGCACTTGAGGGGCCACATACAAAATTTGTAAATAGGTGACGTCGAGAGAGACAATCGAGCTCGAATCACTCTTGGTTTGAGCTAGAGCTTGATTAGTTAACTGACTTCCCTCGAGCTTGAGCTTAGGTCTACGAGTTCAGACAGGTTCGTTTGTTATATAAGAGACAAAAAAATATTAATTTAAGATAGTATTATAATCAAATATTAAATAGAAATAACAATTAGAAGATAAGTAATCAAGAATTACTCCATATAAAATATAAAATATATTGGTTAAGGAAAAAGGGTATGTATGACAATTTTTTTTTTCAATGTATACCTTTCCATCTCTTTTAGAATAGACTACTCTTAGTGTTGCATCCAGTTGTATACAGTAGACCCCTTAAAGGATGTTGCATCTAGATCTGTCTGGTAGACCGTACCCGAGGAATAGAGTGTAAGATCAAGGAAAAGAGAACTTGAGAGAGAGAGAGAGATTTTTCCCCTCAGATGCAAATTGGGGAGGTACCCTGGCTCGGCGGCCCCTTTTATTCCATAAAACATGATGTTACAAGTGGGGGAGCCCCAAAACACCTTTTACATGAAAGTTCTTTTATTTATAGTTGATAGGAGGGCCAAAAAGTAAATTATAATATTATCCTTACTTTCGAAGGGTGGTACTGGATATATTATTAGTCTTTTGTATTGATGTGTAATGCTAAACAGTGCTCCATCGGAGCCCTCCGTTGAAGGGAAAAAATTCCTTGTCTAATTCTGGTTGGCCAAGGGAAA